CCTTTATATCCATGGGAAGCAGGGGGGTTAATGTGGGATATCAGGGGTGGGATGGAGCTGCAGCACTTGTGGATCTCAGTGTGGGGTGGGAATTCTGGATGATGGGAACCCAGGGATGAGCTGGGCTGGGAATTCAGGAACACAGGGATGAGCTGGGCTGGGAATTCAGGAACCCAGGGATGAGCTAGGCTGGGAATTTGGGAGTGATGGGAACACAGGGATGAGCTGGGCTGGGAATTCAGGAACACAGGGATGAGCTGATGATGGGAACACAGGGATGAGCTGGGCTGGGAATTCAGGAACACAGGGATGAGCTGGGCTGGGAATTCAGGAACACAGGGATGAGCTAGGCTGGGAATTTGGGAGTGATGGGAACCCAGGGATGAGCTGGGCTGGGAATTCAGGAACACAGGGATGAGCTGGGTTGGGAATTTGGGAGTGATGGGAACACAGGGATGAGCTGGATTGGGAATTCTTGGGAATCTGGGAACCCAGGGATGAGCTGGGCTGGGAATTTGGGAGTGAGAGGAACATAGGAATGAGCTTGGCTGGGATTTTACAGATCCCTGTGTCCCCACCGATGAGCTGGGCTGGGAATCTGGGAACACAGGGATGAGCTGGGCTGGGATTTTACAGATCTCTGTGTCCCCACCAGAGCTCCCTGAGGAGCACCTGCCCCTGGAAGTGCTGGGTGTGCTGAGGGTTTCATTGACCTATTGAGGATTCATAGATTTATTGAGAATTCATTGATTTATTGAGAGGTTCACTGATTAATTGAGGGTTCGTTCATTTATTGAGGCTTCACCGATTTATTGAGGGTTCTTCCTCATAGGGAAAATGCCAACATCCACTAAAAAATCCACTGTATTGTTGAGCAGAGGCATTTGAAGTTCATTAATGAAACTAAATCTGGCTTTGGGTTGTACAGCAGCCAGGAAAAAAACAGGAATTCTGCTAAAAGCATTGAAAAAATAGGAATAAATGCAGATAAGTGAGCTGGTGTGGTGGAAGGTTCCCTGCCCATGCAGGGGAGGAATGGGATGAGCTGGGAGGTCCCTTTGGGGTGGGAAGGGATTTGTTCCTGGCTCTCCCATTTAGCCTTTGCTCTGTACCCCGTCCTGCGCCCTCAGCAAACCAGGGCAAACAAGAGAGACAATCCAGGATTGCACGTGGGCAACAAAATCTGCCATTTCCACCCATTTCTGAGCTCCTTCCAAAAAACCCACTGCGCGTGGGGGCCGGGGTCATCTGATTAAGCAAATGTAGGCAAATCTCCCCGAGCTGCTTTCCTGACTGAATAACGACTCCGATTTCATCATGGAAACCGTTCCAGGCAGGAGGAAATGCTCTATTCTGGAACAGGCTTTTTATTTTTCCATCCCCTGCCTCCCCTGGCGAAGCTGACACTTGAATTTGTTTGGTGCTGGAGGAAATCCGGGCTGCAGGGGGTTAAAATCCAGCAGGGATCACGAGGATGGACAGATGGAAAGGGCGGAATGGGAATATTTGGAATATTGGTCATCTCCAGTTGTGTTTGTGCTCCTGGATGGGTCCAGCGGGGAAAAGACTTTTTCCTTCTGGGAAAAGTGTTTTTCCTTCTGGAAAAAGGGGCAGCAAACATCCCAAGCAGCAGTGAACAACCCAGTGCTGCTGGCAGGATTTATAAATCCAGGGAAAAGGAGGAAAAGGGGAGGAATTCCTGAGCAGGACAAGGAGGTGGGAGGGAACTGGGAATGTTTTTGTGTGGGAATGGCTCCTGTGTCCCTGTAGAGGAATTGCTTCAGGGCAGTCCCATAAAGCAGGGAGATTCCAAACCTGGCAGAGAAAGGGAAATCCCAAATCTTGGGCAGAGAGAGGGAAATCCCAGACCTGGGCAGAGAGGGGAAATCCCAAATCCTGGGTAGGGAGAGGAAAATCCCAAATCCTGGGCAGAGAGAGGGAAATCCCAAATCCTCGGTAGAGAGAGGGAAATCCCAAACTTGTGTGGGAATGGCTCCTGTGTCCCTGTAGAGGAATTGCTTCAGGGCAGTCCCATAAATCAGGGAGATTCCAAACCTGGCAGAGAAAGGGAAATCCCAAATCTTGGGCAGAGAGAGGGAAATCCCAAATCCTGGGCAGAGAGGGGAAATCCCAAATCCTGGGCAGAGAGAGGGAAATCCCAAATCCTGGGTAGGGAGAGGGAAATCCCAAATCCTGGGCAGAGAGAGGGAAATCCCAAATCCTCGGTAGAGAGAGGGAAATCCCAAACCTGGGCAGAGAAGGGGGAGAGAGGGAAATCCCAAATCTCAGGCAGAGAGGGGCAAATCCCAAATCTTGATCAGAGAGAGAAAATCCCAAATCCCAAACCCCGAGCAAAGGGAAGGAAATCCCAGATCTTGGGCAGAGAGGGAAAATCCCAAATCCCAAATGCCAGGCAGAGAGGGAAAATCCCAAATCCCAAATGCCAGGCAGAGAGGGAGGAGAGCTCCCTCTGATCCCAGCTGCTGGATCAGCCAGGGGAATTCAGCCCCATTTGGGACTTTTAGAGCTTTGTTTTTCTGGTACCACAAAGTGTAAGAGAAGTTGTGTTTGGACACTTGGGGAAAGTCTCTGCACAATTTATTGCCAGATTTATTTGCTTTTATCATGAGTTACTTGGTTTGTTGAGGACACCTTAGCTTTCGTTTGGGTTTTTTTTTAATGCAAAAAGAATAATGCTGTTCACTTTTAATAATTCTTAATTTGAAATAAAAAAGGTATTTCAGAACTCACAGCTTTTCACTGGTTTAAGATCTCATTTTAACATCTAAATTATCCTAATCAGTTTTGAAATACTGACTCATCCCTGTCTGCTGCTGTCCAGATCTCCTAATGTGTTCTGACAACAGCAGTGTGTTTATTTCAGAGAAGAATTTAATGTTTGTTCCTAACTTTTTTTTTCCCCCTCCTTTCTTTTTCATTCCTATTATTGTCATGAAAAGATTTAAAGTCCCTTTTGGCCTCACGTGCAGAGCATAAAACACAAAACCCTTCCTGAAAGGTAATTTTCCAGGAATGAAACCCACAAGAATTGTGTGTCAGGCTTTGCTCTTCTGTCATTTGCTGCTGCTACAAAACAGATTTTTTTTTTTTTTTTTTTGGGAGGGTAGCTCTGAAGGACCTGAATCCCAAAAATTTTGCTCTTCTGTCATTTGCTGCTGCTACAAAACAGATTTTTTTTTCTTTTGGGGAGTAGCTCTGAAGGACCTGAATCCCAAAAACTGACATGGAAAACCTCAGGGATTTGCAATCAGCTCTTGGGGAATGGGAATTCTGAAATCAAGTTAGGGCACAATAGAGGTGATCACAAGAGGAAGAGGCACTGAGGTAAAATCCTGAATATTAAGGGCATTTTGGGAGAGGTAAATGGGAAAATGTTATTTATCCAGGGATAAATAATGTCCTCCACCTGAGCAGGAATGTCCTGGCAGCAGGAATTCAGGCAATTCCAGGTGTAAAACACAGAAATATCTGTGTGAGTGTGAGGGGATGGGGAATGATTCCTGCTTTTGTGTGTGCTGCTTGGATTTCCAAAGGAAAATGTCAAAGGGAAAAGATGCACCTGGATTTACCTGGCCATGTGAGAGGTTTTCATGGAGAGCGAGCCACTCCCAGCCCCAAAATCTGCCAAAAAAAAATGCAGATCACCCATTCCAGACACAACCTGCCAGGAGAGATCCGCCCTGCTTTCAGTGGGGCTGGGATTTCCTCCCCCGTGCCTTGCCCTAAATAGCAAATTCAGTGGAATAACTCGGGGTCACTGGGAGTTCTCCAGCTGGGGGATCCTCACGGACTCGGCCGCTGCTCCCCCTCCACCCCAGGGCTGCTGGAGCCTTGGTGGGAGCCTGGGAGGTCCCAGCCTCGCCAAAATCTTCAGACATTTTTTGTCCTTTCCTACAAAACTGGGATTGAATAGAGCCTGCAGGGACGCAGCGCTGCCGAAGATTGACAAGATGGAAATTGGCATCAGCGCTGGGGAGGAAAGCACTGGAAGTTGTGATGGTGTTTTTTAAAGCACCCTGAGAAGGGGCTGAAAGCACTGCGGTCCTTGGAGGGTGGCTGTGATTTCCCAGCACAGCTCGGGGGGTGTTTGCACACTCAGAGCTCCGTGCTGAGGGGCAGCTCCCTGATTTAATAGAAATAAAACAAAGTTCTCGTTCTTCTGTCGCCTCCTAGACACGGGAAGGGTTCAGTTTTCCTTCACAGCACCACAATTCCCTTTCATCTGCCTTAATTTCAATGCTTTGGGTTCCATCACCTCCTCGTGCCCTCAGCTGTTCCCTCCCGGCTCCCTTCATCCTCACACTCTTTAATTTGAAGAAAAAAAAAAAAAAGATTTTTCACGTGTCCTGTTCTCCCCCCTGGCTGTGCTCGCTGCTCTCTGATCTCCCTGCAGGAATCAATCCCTTCTCACCCACATTTGTCGCTTTCCTCTGAATTTTCGCCAAAAAACAGACAAGGTGCTGAAATGAATTCAGCATTGCCGGAGATCAATGGGAATTTCCTGGGTTTGACAGCAGCAACGAGGGTTTGACAGGGTGGGAGCTGTTCCAAAGGCAAAGCCTCAGGAATTCGGGAACTGAGGGACCTTCCTCATCCTGAAGGAATGCCCTTGGTCCCTGATGGCAGCTGAGGATCACAAATCTGAGAGGATGAGGAGAAGTGCTGAAAACTTCTCCCCTCACATCCTGCAGCTTCTGAACCCTCAGTTCCCCACCTGTTTTCTGGTGGTTTTGATGCTGTTTTGTGGCATTTGGCAGCCCTTACACTGAAATTATTTGATTTTTTTTCCTCCATGTGCGTGTCCTTTCAAAGCCCAACCCGGCAGCTCTGCAGACACTCCTGGAGTAAAACCAACCCTAAATAAAACCCAGAGTAAAACCAATCCTAAATAAAACCCAAAATTGATTTTTCACTCCAGCAATAAAACGAGATGCTAGAAAAATAATGAAAAATGGAATTTTCCTCTGGTTGCCTTTCAGGAAATGAGAACAGTGAGGCCCTGCCCGAGTCCATCCCCTCGGCCCCGGGGACCCTGCCCCATTTCCTGGAGGAGCCGGACGATTCCTACATCATCAAGAGCAACCCCATCGTGCTGCGCTGCAGGGCCGTGCCCGCCATGCAGATCTTCTTCAAGTGCAACGGGGAGTGGGTGCACCAGAACGAGCACGTGTCCCACGAGAGCCTGGACGAGGCCACAGGTGAGCAGGTGTCACATTCATATCTTCTGTAACTCTTTAATTTGAAGATTTTTCTCCTGGGAAGCCGAGAAGCCTCAGAGAAAAAGGAAAACAATTTTATCTCATTTGCTTCTCCTGTGTTTTGCTGCTTTGGAATGTGGTTGGGGATTGTTTACCCACAGGTGATTGTTTCATTGGTTTCATGTGAATTGTTTGGACTTATTGGCCAATCAGAGCCAAGCTGTGTCAGGACCCTGCAAAGAGTCACGAGTTTCATTATTATCTTTTCAGCCTTCTGTAAGTATCCTTTCTGTATTCTTTAGCATAGTTTAGTATAGCATTCTTTAATATAATATAGTATCATAAAATAATAAATTAGCCTTCTGAGAACAGGGAGTCAGACTCATCATTCCTTCCTGCCACGGGGGACCCTGCAAACAGAATAAGCAGGAGCTGCTCCCAGGTCACCAGGAGTTACTCCCAGGACAGCCCCAGTGGGAATCCCAGCCCTGACCCCGCCAGGCAGCTCTGCAGGGACCTGGGGTTCCTCTGCTTCCCTTTGGAGGAGGAGCTGGGAATAGGGAAAGTCGTTTTTATGGGATTCCTGCTGGGTTGGATCCTGGTTTCCCCCCAGTCCCATTTTTTGTAGGATTCCTGCTGGGTTTGCCCCCAGCCCCAGTTTTTATGGGATTTTTGTTGGGTTGGACCCTGGGGTTTGCCCCCAGCCCCAGCCAGGGCAGGAATTGGGGTGGGAATAACCCGAGCAGGAGAAATCCCCAGTGCCCAGTGCGTGTGGATGAGAAGAGGAGAAGGGAGAGATTTGGGAGTGATCAAGAGATTTTATCAGCTGGGAGCACAGCCTGTAGCTTCTCTCATTTAGCTGATAAGTATTGCAGACCAATTTAATGCTGTGGCTCCACAATTCTGGTTGTTATTGCTTTCTCCCCTCTCCCCTCCCAGCATTGCTAGGCAACCCCCAGCCTTGGCAGCAGCGCTCTGTGTACAACACCTTCTCCAGCAACACAAGAAATTCCTTTTTTAGAGGCAAAAATGCCATTTAAAAAGAAGTTACACCTCTTAAAGTAGTGCTTGGCATTCTTTTGAAGTGACACATTCTGAAGAAGTTTCGTATTAGAGGGGGTTTTTTTTGTAAATGCTAATCTGAATGAATTTTAATTTTTGCAGTTACCTTTTCAGAAATAATTTAATAGGCATAACCTTTACTTCTAAAGGCACTGCTGAATCAATATGGGAGAAATGTCGTCCCTAAAAGCTTTCCTTCCATATGGTTACAGAAAATCTCTCTGTGAGTGCTGCAATTATGTTTTCTAAGCGTTGGGTTAATAACAGAACAAACCAAGATTGGTAACACGAGCTGGGGTTTAAACGGCATCGGTAACTTTGAGGTTTGAGACACGGAGCAGCAGGGCTGGGATCATGGAATGGTTTGGATTGGGACAAAATTCATCTGGTGCCAGCCCCTGACCACAGAAACGCTGCAGGGCGGGACTTAGCCCAGGGCTGCAGATGCCCCAAAGGTCTGGACCCAAAACGCTGCAGGGCAGTGTCCAGGTGTTCCCAGAATGGTCCTCAGGGCACAAAAATGCAGAGAGAGGCAGCACTGAGGGGAATTTTCTCACCATGATCCCATCCATGGCCACGAATTCCTTTGGAACTCTTCCTCAGCCTCCGGGGAGCAGCAGCTGTTGGAGTTTTTGCCCTCATTTCTGGAGTCCAGTCTGGGCCACAGCTGAGTCTGTCCCCAGGCACAGCCCGGCTCTGCTCCAGCTGGAAAACTGCTCTGGGATCGGTGCCAGAAGCGGAGATTTTGGTTAAAGGGGGTTCTGGGGCCTCACTGCACTGGAAGGGTCTGACCCTCTGCATCCTTCCCCTGCGTGTGAGGGATCAGAGTCCCGAGAGGTTGGGGGGAGTGCTGAAAAGCAGCACCCAGAGCCCCGGGCTGGAGGAGTTTGCTGCTGGATGGAGGGAACGGGTCTGAGCTCCTGTGAGGGCTCCTGGCAGAGGGGCTGCAGTGGCACTCGGGGTGTCCCAAGGCAGAGACTCCCCACGGGTGGCTTTGTCACCGTGATGGGCACAGAGCCCAGTTTTCCACGATTTTGGTTTCACAGGAGAGGAATAAAGGCTCGGAGCAGCCCAGGAGTGTCTGTGAGCAGGAGCAGCAGGACAGGGAGGGTTTTGCAGGGCTCTGCTGCTGCCTGGGGATGTCTGGAAGGCTTTGCCTGGAGTGTCCCCGTGGTGGCTTTGCTGCTCTGCCTCTGCTTTTCCTGTTTATTCCCAAGCGTGACAGAGCAGGGACTTTGTTCTCTCCGTGCTCTGCCTCATCAAGGGAGAGCCGAGCTCGTGGATGCTGCTGTGATGAAAGTCTGGTAATTAGGGGCTGATGAATTTCCCTCTGCTGCATTTCCTGCACGCTCCAGAACCTGCCTGGCTGTTTCAGCTTGGGGTTCAGCAGAGGCTCAGCCCCGCTCGCAGAGTTTCCTTGCCTGATAACTGGAAGGATTACAGCAATAACTGCTGTCAGTGTTTTTCTCATTTAAACAAATAAAGCTGACAAATGCCGAAGTTCTCTGCAGCTCCGTTGTGTTTAGTACACGGAGAGCAATTATTCATCTGCTGCCAGCACCGGTCTGTGCAGCTCGAGCATCCAGCAGAGCCCATTAGCATTTCAGTGCCACAGCCAGCACTTGATATTCTGCACGGCTCTACTGTAAAACAAAAGATGATGGTTCTAATTTGCACAATAATTTAAAGGGTTGGGCTCGCGGTGCTTATTGGAATTATTGGAGTCGCAGGTAAAATGTCGCGGTGCTTTACGAGGTGCCTGCTTTGATTTGCAGGGATTTTTCACCCGGTGTCACTCCCCGTGAAGGATTTTCCCGGTGGTTCCCGAGGTGCAGAGGGGAGGTGGATGTGTGCGCTGGTGAAATACGGGGGTGATAAATGCAGAATATTCCTCTCCTCCCAATAGGTTTGCTTTGTGTCGTTGCTCCTAAAACAAATGGAAATCGCTGTATTTTCTCCATAAACAAAGCATAACTTCCCCCAAAGACCCCGTGTTCTCCAGAGGTCCTGTCCAGCCCCAACAATTCCGAGATTCTGCAGTTTTGGATGCATTTATTTTGTCTATAGGTGAACTGGGAGACCTTTAAGAGGACCTGAATTCCTACCTGGCCCATTCTCAAAACGCTGAACCACCAGCTTCCCCAAACCTTTGTGCTCTTTGTTTGCCACATTAAATACAGGCTGATTTATAGATTAATTAAGCGCCGTGTCAATGAAAGGAAGAGCTGGGCTGGAGAATATTCCACCTTAATAAATCTGGAGCTGTAAATGCCTGAATTCACTGACGCCTGCTCAGAAATTTGCAGCACCCCGGAGCCAAGAAATGGCTTCAGCTTGTTCAAAATTCATCATCAAGTGATGACTTCTTCTTGTTTGGTATCAAAATCCTGTCCTTGTGGGCAGGGGCGGTGCTGGGGCAGCTCCCACACCTCTGCCTCTCTTTGCTGCTTCCCAAAATCCCCAGAGCAGCTCAGGAGGGAAGGGAGCAGGGGCTGGGGGTGTGAGTGGGGTCAGCACAGCTCTGGATAATCCAGGGAGGGTTTTCCCCCCAGGAAGCTGCTCCTGGTGGGAATGGGATCCCAAACCTTCAGCCAGGGCAGCCCTGCTCTGTCCCCTCTGAGGGAACTCCCTGGAGCTTCTCTTACCTTAAACCTGGACAGATCACTCTGCAAAACCTTTTCATGCCAGAATCCAAGGATTTTTGGCTGGCAGAGCAGGGATGGTTTTGTTCAGGGGGTGCGTTTTCCTGGCAGGGTCTCTGGCAGAGCCTTTGTTCCTCAGGGTTTGTTGTCACCGTGTCAGGAAATAAAGGGAGGCTTTGTAAACAGTTTTGTTAAAAACAGCATCAACACGGGGGAAACAAAAAGCAGCCAGAAAACCTGTGTTTGTTTGTTGCATGGGAATAAATATTTGAGAGACTGAAGGCATTCTGGAAACAACTTGGGGAGCTGTCAAGGGTTTGTCCCTGTCTTTGGGTTTCATTGTAAGCCAGGCTTAATGAAAAGAAGTAAAAATCTCCTTTTCCTGCCACTGGAAAAGTATCAAATATTCTGTATTTTTGTACAGGATTTAAAGCTTGTCTGAGCTTCCCCTCTTGGAGCATCCCCAGTGAACCCTGTCCCTCCTCTTGCCAGAGGAGCACAGTGACTTCCCAGTGCCTTTGAGGAGTGCCTGCCCAGCTGTTAATGATGCCTGAGATTAAGTGGAAGCCAATTTTTATGGAGTTCAGGTTTAGAATTCTTGCTGCTTTATAAACTCCACAGGCATGAAATACGGTGAGATTGGGTTTGCCTCCATTTCCAGTGGAGGGGAAATAACTGCCAGGGGACTGTGCTGGAGGAGAGAGGAGGAAGAACAAGGCCTGAATGTTTTCTATTTTCATTTAATGTTTTTTCTGACTCTTTCGAATGGTTCCCAGTGCCAGGTTTGGATTGGATTTCCTCTGCCAAGGCTGCCATGCTGAGGTGGCTGCAGGTCTGGGGAACATCCCAGGGGTGCCACAGGAAAGGTGTGGGAGGATCCTGGAGTCTGGAATTTACCTTTGGGCTCTGTGTGGGGGAAATGCTCCTGGTCTGAGGGGCCACAGGTTTGCAAGGGCATGGAGGTGTCCTTTAAAGACGTATTTATTGTACATGATCGAATCCAGACAAACATCCTGGCTGAAGGAGGCACCAGGGATGAGGATTCTGAGGGAGGAGTTGCAAAGATCACAATGGGGGCAATTCCTGGAACTTTGTGCATTACGACCCGCTCATCTTACAGAATTTAATTAGTGGCACTACATCATTGTGCAAGTAATTAAGGCTTTGCCCTGATTGAAAAGGGCACCGCTGATTAAAGGGCAGGTTTGTGTCCCGCTGATCCTGTGCCTCTCCCCGCTCAGGGCTGAAGGTGCGGGAGGTCTCCATCAACGTGACGAGGCAGCAGGTGGAGGATTTCCACGGCCCCGAGGATTACTGGTGCCAGTGCGTGGCCTGGAGCCACCTGGGCACCTCCAAGAGCAGGAAGGCGTCCGTGCGCATCGCTTGTGAGTAAACGCTGCTTCCCTGGGGCTCTGAGGGGTGGCAACGCTGCCTTTGGGGTTAAACAGCAGTGGGTGTGCTCTCTGCCCCTGCAGGAGCATCCCGGGAACCACAGGTGTCAGCAGAGGGAAAAACACCTTCCCTCCTTTCTTGGGATAGAGCCATCCCAAAGAGAGGGAGGGAGGCTGCCACGGGAATCCTGAGCTGGCCTTGGCAGGGAAGGAACCATGGGGCTGCCGTCCATGGAGACTTGGGGGAAGGTGGGGGATGATCTTCCTCTCCTCATGTCCTTGATGTGCTGTGGGGTCGTCACTCACCACCCACAGATCCTGCTGGAGCTGCAAAAATGGAAATGCTCCAAATGCCCCACAGCCAGAGGGACAGCAGAGACACAATCTCCAACACAGCTGTCACCAGGAGCTGCAAAAAGGGAAATGTTCCAAATGCCCCACAACCAAAGGGACAGCAGGGACAGGACCCCAAACACAGAACTGTCACTGGGAGCTGCAAAAAGGGAAATGTTCCAAATGCCCCATAGCCAGAGGGACAGTGGAGACACGACCCCAAACACAGCTGTCACCAGGAGCTGCTCCAAGCCTCATCCCATTCCTGGAATCAGACCTGGGGTGTTTTCCTGGCAGAACCAGAGCCTGCCAGAGGAGAATTCAGGGATTGCTTCCCCCAGTCTGTGGTGAGCCCCTTTCCCTTGAGCCCCCAGCTCAGATCTTCCCTTTGCTCTCCTGGGAAAGGAGGTGCAGCCTACAAAAAGCTGGGAGAAACATTCCCTGGGAGAGGAGGGCAGGAGCAAAGGGAGAACCTGAAGGGACACTTCCCAGGGAGTGTTCCAGCAGCTCCTGACAATAGAAAAAGGTGTCTTTTACCAGGGTAAACATTTAACAGGATAAAACAAACATTTGTCAGAAGTAAAAGGACAGTGTAAGAAAAGCTTCATTTCATTAACGGCGGATTTTTTTTTTGTTGGCTGATTCAGTCTGAATGTCTAAATACGTGTAAATTCAATTTTTTATTTCACTGCATTAACTGTCATAACACTGAGCCAATAATTCCCCTGCATTGCCGAGCTGAAAGGACCTTTATCTGAATTGAATTTTTATTGACTTTTCTCCGCGCTGTGATTTCCCAGCCCCACAAAATGGCAATTTGAGCCAGGCTCAGCGTGAGCAGGAGCAGGAGGAGCCGTGTGCTGGGGCTTTTCAACCCCTCACTGTGGGAGCAGTTCTTCTTGCCAGTGCCCCGAGACCCCATTAACCCCAGAGCGCTCTGGAGAGGCTCTTCAGCTCGGCCTGGAGGGCTCTGGGGGTGCCTGGAGGCTTTGTGTGGGAGCTGAGCTCCTCTCTGCCCCTTCCTGGGCTATTTTGTGCTCAAAGCTGAGTGGCTTGCTGGGAAAAGCAGCAATTCCGGAGGGCAGAGCTGAAGGGGCTCCTCAGGCACAGCAGGAACACGCTGGGCTGGGATTTATGGCTTGGGGAACACCCTGGGAGGATCAGGGATGAGACCCTGCAGGTCCAACCTCTGAGAGAACCCAGAACGTTCTCCCAGCCCCTCTGGGATGGGCACTGAGGAACCGGCATCTTTATTTCATCCCTTTTTTTTTTTTTTTTGATTTTGCACTGAAATCCCAACGTTTCTGAATTGTGAGTCAAGTCCACAGTGTTGCAGCACTTTATATTTCTCCAAAGAAGCAGGTGAGTATTTCTTTGTGATAGTGGGGAAGGCAGAGCAAAGGGATCCTGCTCCATTTTTCACCCTAATAAAGGCATTTGTAGGCACAAGCGCAGCCTGGCTGTTAATGAATGCCTTCTTAAAGAGAGCACTGGAAAAGAAATTGGTTGTCTGAGGGGAGAAAAATCAACATTAACAAAGAATCATGGAAAGGAGCATGCAGGCACTGTAAGCATCTTTCTGCAGGCAGCAGCTCGCTCAGATAATTCTGAATGCATTTTGGAAAATGCAGTGCCAGGGCCGTATTTCATCAGCTGTGAGCAAGGCAGGGAATGAAGTCAGTAAATCCCCACCGTGGAGCCTGAGACACTGGGAACACAATGAGAGCTCCGAAAGTAACATCCCCCAGCAGGAATCACATCCCTGAGGGTTTGCTTTGCTTCCACAGCCGGGGAGCTCCAGGGATTCCTGGGTGTGTTTGGGATCCCAGCTGGATCCAGGGGAGCTCCAGGGATTCCTGGGTGTGTTTGGGATCCCAGCTGGATCCAGGGGAGCTCCAGGGATTCCTGGGTGTGTTTGGGATCCCAGCTGGATCCAGGGGAGCTCCAGGGATTCCTGAGTGTGTTTGGGATCCCAGCTGGATCCAGGTTTCCTTTGTGTCCGTTCTGTCTGCCCAGACACCCTCAGGTGCTGCAGCAGCTCTGAGACATTTCTAAAGCTCAGTGATCACCTGGCAGCGGTGTCTGGGGTGGAGCAGTTTGTCCCCAGTGTGGAATTAAGTGACAGGTTGGACTTGATGATCTCAAAGCTCTTTTCTGGGATCCTCTGAATTGCTCCCAGCCCCTTTCTCCTTCCCCCTGCAGCTCTCAGGGTGAGATCTGCACAGATCAGGATTCAGACACTGCTCTGAGCAGGGCATGGCCCAGCCAGGCTGGATCCAGTTCAATCCCAGCCCACAGGACCCTGGGGATTCCACGCTGCTCCTGCACGGAATTCTGAATTGTGGGAAGGTTCTGGACATGGGGTGCAGGGCTGGAACCTGGCCTTGCTTTGTGTCAAACACAGGTGGGTTTGGAGAGGGGAGAAATGGGGACACAGCTGAAGGTGAGGGGATCCAGGGATGGGAGTGTCCTGGAGCTCTGGGAGTGCCAGGGGCACCCACCCTGCACCCCGTGGAGCTTTGGGGCAGGAATGCCAGTCCTGGTGAACCCTTGAATCCAAGGAATGCCAGTCCTGGTGAACCCTTGAATCCAAGGAATGCCAATCCTGGTGAACCCTTGAATCCAAGGAATGCCAATCCTGGTGACTGCTTGCATCCAAGGAATGGCAGTCCTGATGAATTCTTTCCTCCCACCCTGCAGATCTAAGGAAGAACTTCGAGCAAGACCCCCAGGGCAAGGAGGTTCCCATCGAGGGGATGATTGTCCTGCACTGCCGGCCCCCCGAGGGCGTCCCCGCGGCCGAGGTGAGCTTTGGGGTGGGCACGGGGGCACAAGAAAAAGCTTTGGATGGGCTCAGCTCCTGTGTGGTGTCGGTCCTGGTGCTCTTCTCCCCCAGAATGCTTCAAGTGTCCTTTTTTGATGCACTAGATTTACAGAAGTGTGGCTTTTTATCCAAATTCTGGACTGTTTGCTGAAAAATCCTGGTTTTCAGACAATTTTCAAGTCCTGTGCTTTCAAACTGAAAGCAGATTGTTGCGCATTTTCCCAAGAATTACTTTTCTCCTTGAAAAACAAGACAAAGTAAAAGGCAAACCTAAAAATATTGTGATAAATGGTTGCTGGGGAGAGAAAATCTGCTGCAAGTATTAATTTGGTGGAGTTTGGCTTTGCTTTAAACAGGCTTTTTGTGATGAGAGCTGGATCTTAACAGGAAAACCACAGGGATGCCTTAAAATGGCAATAACCAGGCTGCTCTTGGAGGGAGAGGTTCGAGTGGGTCGTGTCGAAAAATCTGCTGCAGGGGCTTTAAAACCCAAGGAAACGTTGAATTTTTAATTGCACCCTGCAGTTCTCTGCAGCACCTTCTGGGGAATGAGAGCACTTGGATCACTCAGGAGTTGGTTTTTGCCCCTTATCCCCAGCGTGGCTGGGGTTGGTAATAACCAAAGGAAGAAAAGGAAAATAAACCCCAGAGAAATGTGTGTTTTTAGTTAATGAGAAGGGATTGGAGCAGATGTCCCTGGAAATAAAGAGGAGAAATGCAGAGGCACCATCAGTGAGGCAGAAGTGCTAAAGGAGAGGAAAATGAGGCAGAGATGGGCTCAGCGAGTGGCTGGGTTTGTGTCCAGGTTTCTGGTGTGCTTTACTCTGCCAGTGCAATCTCTGCTCCCACCTCCTCCTCAGCTCTCTGTATTTTCACTCCTTACCAGGAAAATGGGTGTTGTATTGCAGGGAATTGCCAGGATTGCTGAATGTGTGCTCTGGAAAATGGATCTGGTTTGTAGACAAAATAAACCTCCACAGGTGTGGCTCCCCAAACACTCTTGGTCTCATTGAGTTTTACTGAGAATTTTAGATTTCTTTGAACTGCCAGCTTTACATTCCCCACTTAAGCAGGGAGTCTGTCTTCTGTGGAAGGTAGGAATTATGTCCAATGAAAACCTGACATTTTAATTGCTTGCTCCAGATAAAAGTGGTGGAGTTCCCAACAAACCCTGATTTACTGCTGTTGACAGTAAAATTGTTATTGCTGCTAATAAAGCTGGTAAATCTCACCAGGTCACATTTGCTTTGGCCAATAAAATGTCCCATAAAGGCTTGGGCTAATTCTGGGCTCATCGAGGTAAAGAGTCTGCTGGAAATAATTCAGTGTCTTTAGAAAGTGGGTTAAACCTGTTAGAGCAGGCCTGGCTCTGGGCTGGGGGGATAAACTCAGCTTTATTCAGAGTTAAAGCACAGCCTGGCCTGATTAACACTGGGGAATAACTGAGCCACAAAGGCTCCCTCAGCGATTGTTCGTGGGTGCTGAGCGGTGCTGAGGGTTTCAAACCCCAGTGCTGGCAGCAAATCCCTGGTTCTGATCCAAGAATTGATTTCATTAGAGTTTGGATGCAGCCCTGGATGGAAACATAAGGCTGGAAATAACTGGGGACAAAGGAGCTGCTCTGGTGTTTCACGAGATGCAGAGTGGGTGCTGACTGGGGCATTGTCGGTGTTTGCTCAACCTAAGAGAACTGGAAACAAGGGGGAAGGAGGCTCCAGCCCACCCCTGCTCCGTGCCAGAGCCCCTCCCTGGGGAGGGTTTGGTTATTCCAAGTGCAGAACTTCAGGAATGCTGTCAGAATTTGGTTATTCCAGGTGCAGAACTTCAGGAATGCTGTCAGAATTTGGTTATTCCAGTGCAGAACTTCAGGAATGCTGTCAGAATTTGGTTATTCCAGTACAGAGCTTCAGGAATGCTGTCAGAATTTGGTTATTCCAGGTGCAGAACTTCAGGAATGCTGTCAGAATTTGGTTATTGCAGTGCAGAACTTCAGGAATGCTGTCAGAATTTGGTTATTCCAGGTGCAGAACTTCAGGAATACTGTCAGAATTTGGTTATTCCAGTGCAGGACTTCAGAAATGCTGTCAGAGAGTTTGGTTATTCCAGTACAGAGCTTCAGGAATGCTGTCAGAATTTGGTTATTCCAGGTGCAGAACTTCAGGAATGCTGTCAGAATTTGGTTATTGCAGTGCAGAACTTCAGGAATGCTGTCAGAATTTGGTTATTCCAGGGGCAGAACTTCAGGAATGCTGTCAGAGTTTTGTTATTGCAGTGCAGAACTTCAGAAATGCTGTCAGAGTTTGGTTATTCCAGTACAGAGATTCAGGAATGCTGTCAGAATTTGGTTATTGCAGTGCAGAGCTTCAGGAATGCTGTCAGAATTTGGTTATTCCAGGTGCAGAACTTCAGGAATGCTGTCAGAGTTTTGTTATTGCAGTGCAGAACTTCAGAAATGCTGTCAGAGTTTGGTTATTCCAGTACAGAGATTCAGGAATGCTGTCAGAATTTGGTTATTGCAGTGCAGAGCTTCAGGAATGCTGTCAGAATTTGGTTATTCCAGGTGCAGAACTTCAGGAATGCTGTCAGAATTTGGTTATTGCAGTGCAGAACTTCAGGAATGCTGTCAGAATTTGGTTATTCCAGTGCAGAACTTCAGGAATGCTGTCAGAATTTGGTTATTCCAGTACAGAGCTTCAGGAATGCTGTCAGAATTTGGTTATTCCAGGTGCAGAACTTCAGGAATGCTGTCAGAGTTTTGTTATTGCAGTGCAGAACTTCAGAAATGCTGTCAGAGTTTGGTTATTCCAGTACAGAGATTCAGGAATGCTGTCAGAATTTGGTTATTCCAGGGGCAGAACTTCAGGAATGCTGTCAGAGTTTTGTTATTGCAGTGCAGAGCTTCAGGAATGCTGTCAGATTTTAGTTATCGAGTGCAGAACTTCAGGAATGCTGTTGGAGTTTGCTTATTTGGGGCCAGTGGTGCCTCTCTTTGCTAATCCCATTACTTAATTATTTATCTGTGGGCTGGGACAGCACAGAAATCCCAATCAGAGCTCCCTGGAGCAGAATTCCTGCAAATGAAGTTTTGTGGGGAGCAGTGTCTGTTCCTGCCATCTGCTCCAGAAGGAGACAGCAGCAATGGGAATACCCAGATTAAGTTTGCTTTTACACATGTTCATTTGTGCACAAAACAAGCATAAAACCAGTTAGGGGAATATGGATTAAAGGGCTGGATCCACGGTTTGAGCATGTCTGAAGTGAAAATGGCTCAAAATCCAGATTGTGTAAATCAATTTCCCAGCACTGGGGAAATTCTGGGGCTGCCCTGCTCACACAGTTCAGTGTGTACACGGTTTTTAAGCTGAGGAGCACACCAGTGAGAGCAAAATCCAGGCATTACAGACAGGGAGCACCAAAATTCCAATTCAGCTCTTCCAGGGCTGCCTCAGACCCGGCTGGACAAGCCCTGGCTCCCTCAGCAGCACATCCCAGCTGCTCCTGCTGGCCACACCTGACCAAGGAGCAGCTCCCCAAGGCTGCAACCCCTTCTTGAGGGTTTGGTGGCACTCCCATGAAGCCAAAGTCCCCCTCTGGGGCCTGGAACTCTGTGGGTGTCCCTGGCTTTGGGAGCACCAAATCCTCCTGTGGCAGCAGCAGTGGAGAGAACGCAGTGACTGAGCTCTTACTTCTTGTTTTACCCCTTCAAATAGTCTGGGAATGCTGAAACCATCCTGGATCCAGGGACAGGCACCTGCCTCTGAAGTGATAACCCCAGGTACCACACCCTGGAGCACCTGGCTCTGCTCCTGAAGCTGCTGCTTTTCCTGGGCAGGTCCAGATCAGCTGCCCTCAGCCTCTCTGCATGACACCATGGGTTTATTTCTGCCCCTTCAGGCACTCCTGGGTTTATTTCTACCCATTCTGGATTTATTTCTGCCCTTATACCCACCCTGGGTTTATTTCTGCCCACCCTGGATTTATTTCTGCCCCTACAGCCCCCCTGGATTTATTTCTGCCCACCCTGGATTTATTTCTGCCCCTACAACACCCCTGGGTTTATTTCTGCCTCTGCACTCTTTGGGAGCAGGTTTCCCATCTCCAGAGTTCTCTACAAAGCAGAGAATGAGACCTTTTTACACCTTTTGGGATGGTGCTGGGCTTTGGGGCACCCTGGGTGCATCAGCACCGCAGGAAGAGAGGAAGAAAACCCAAATCCCAGTGCTGGGCAGGTTGGAAAAGGCTTTTAAATCCTCTTCTCATGCATTTACATAGCAAGCAGAGAGAGCTGGTGAGCAGCTGTGCTTGCAGGCATCGGCACCCAACCCAAATAAATTCAGTTTTTATGAGTTAAGCATCGAAATGAAAAAGAAAATTCAGCATTTAAATAGAGCAGCTGAAAATCCCCCGCTGAGGCAAATGTTGATTCAGCTCTGGAGAGTCTCTGCTGGCACGGGCTCGGTGGGACCAGAGCCTTTTATTCACTATTGATGGGAGCTGGCCTGGGCAGGAGTCAGCTCTGGGCTGAGTCCCTCAGCAGCTTCTGCAGGGAGATATTGAGGAATTGTGAGCAGGAATTGTGTCCTTTGGCTGGGGTGTACTCCTCCAGTCCCTCAGCAGGCTCTGCAGGGAGATATTTAGGAATTTTGTCCTTTGGCTGAGGGTGTGCTCCTGAGGGTTCCTCAGGGAGACATTTAGGATAATAACAATAATATCTCAGGGAGATATTGAAGAATTGTGAGCAGGAATTGTGTCCTTTGGCTCGGGCTGTGCTCCTCCAAGTCCTCAGCAGCTCCCATGGGGAGATATTGAGGAATTGTGTGCAGGAATTCTGTCCTTTGGCTAAGGGTGTGCTTCTGACAGACCCTCAGGGAGATATTTAGGATAATAATAATATCTCAGGGAGATTTTGAGGAATTGTGTACAGGAATTGTGAGCAGGATTTGTGTCCTTGGTTTGGGCTGTGCTGCTCCAAGTCCTCAG